TTATACGGAGTTCCGTTGGCTGAATTGTTGATTCTGTCACCCCATAATCTGGCTATCCAAAATGATCTGGCTCAAAACCAGACTTACCTTCTCCCTTTTTTTTATAAAAGGGAGGATTTTTTTAGTTTGAATCTTTCCCAGCACTGGGCCAAGGAACGGTGAAACGGTTGAAACAGCACTTATCTTTATAGCATGGAGTAATGACAGGCAATGCAGAAAGGGTTGGGATGGTAACCTTCTGCTGTGACTTGTTAGCAGCTGGAACAATTCATCTGACTGCAGCCTAAGCAATAAATAATGCCATGCTTTGTTATGGCTACTTGACTTCTGGTTTTGGCCCTGAATTCAAACACTTTGCCTCCTGTATTGCAGTGTCTTTTCCTGCTGCCTCCTGTAACTTGTGCTGTAGCTTATCTATCTGGGATGGAATTTAGCACCAAATTGTGGACACCTGGATATGAGTGCCCAGTGGAGATGTCCACTTTTAGTCAGTTGAATAGCTCTGTAGCTCCACTGACTGTACTGAGTAGCTCTTATGGGAGTTTAACCAGCTGCAGCTGCCTTCTAAAGACTTGGCTCTGCCAGTTGTGTTGATACGTTCTAGCTAAAAGCCTGTAGATGCTAGTCCAGCTAAAGCAAATGTAGTTGTACTTCTGCTTTTTGTGTAAGATTCCTGAGTCCACTGGAGTTAAAAAAAAAAAGGCTTCCATTTTAAATAAATGGTCCATGCTTCAGGCATTGACTGTTTTTCTTCCTATTACTGCATGTCATACTAGCTGTGGTTGCTATTAGTGTGAAAACTAGGCTAGACCATTTTATGAAAACTGGACAATATTCTGATCATTATCAGTCCATACAGACATTCGCTTGAAGATGGCAATGGTTTTTTTCAACAGCTTATAATATCAACATGAATTAATTTAATAATAATTATACAGCTTAGTTTTCTAATAATCCACTGTTCTTATGTCTTTGTAAAATACACTTTAGAGGCCTGGTTTCTATTTTTGACGACCTCGAGGTGGTTTGCTGTGCGCCTGGATGCTATCTGTGCCATTTTTGTTATAGTGGTTGCTTTTGGTTCCCTGCTTCTCGCCAAGAGTAAGTACAGATGTTAGAAAAAGTTCACCTAGTAATTACCATGTATAGTAATGTCTAATTCTTTTTCATAGTTTGCCGTTTCTAATTGTTTAAGGACTGTAATTAAGTTAAATGTTTCTTTCTAGATCATGATCTTTCCCTCAGTCTAGGGCACTGGGGCTGTATCTGCTTTCCTGCAAATACTGGAGGCAGTTCAGACATCTTCCGGGCTTAGGCATGCATCTACCGTCATCCCCTAGCGTGCAAACAAACTTGCAGATCTGTAGTCTTCACTTGAGATTCTGGCTTTCAGAGCAATAACAACAAATAAATCTTTTTCCCCACCTTTGCCTTTCTTTTTTTGGGCCTACAGGGCTTTGCTTTTCATACTGAAACACCCACAGAGCTGCTTCTTAACAACTTTTTTCCTTTCTACACATGGCACAGTAGGCCAAAAGGCAAGCTAAAATTCCTAGGGATACTCTTCTAATATCTTGGATCAGCAGGATAGGCCAGTTCCAGAAAGCATAATAATACATTTTATGTTCACTGTCACTCATGAACTGTCATTAGTGTATGCATCATCCAGGATGTTAATTGGGTTAGATGTACTAGAATGAGATAGTCATCTAAAATATGAAGGAAGAAGTAATTATCTTGGACATGAAAATTAGTGCTAATTTGCTGGTTTTGTTTCTTTTCTTTTTCCTTTGGATAAGTTCTGTGTATGCATGTGTGTTTTAAAATTTGAACACTCTCTGCTGCTCAATGCTGAAAATTTTGAGCTAGGTTTGATGTTATTAGAATGCAAAAAGACAAGTCAAAACAATGGTCCTGAATCTTTCCTTGCCTCTGGATAAGGAGTAGCTCTCTTGAAGTCAATAGAGCTCTGCTAGGATAAAGTTCAAGTAAGTCAAGAGGACAATCATGCTTAATATTAGGGCAGGCAGAACTCATTTATTTTATGAGAGCAGACCCACTGAATGCAATAAATGCTTATATAAACAGGAGAAGAGGTATTCTGTCCTGTTATTTTATCTGATCATCTTAGAAGAGTACAAAATTGATAGAAACGTAGGTTATTTTGTGCTCATTTTTTCTTAGGTTTAGGGGCTGATCTAATTCCCTTAGAAAAAAGTGAAATGTTACTAAGGCTCAGCCAGATAGGGATGACCCTAACAAATCTTGAGACTGAACCTCAGTTTTTAGGTAAAATGCCAGTCCAAGGAGAATTGGGATTATCTTTTAAAATATACAGACAATTTCCAAAATGTACCAAAAAAATGCAGCAAGTAGCTGTTCTGCCTGAAGCTACTCATTGCACAGATGGCAAGTACGGTGTAACCAAACAAAATTCTGGCTGTGATGCTTCCATCATGTAAGTAACCTCATGAAAGGGAAGTTAACTAGAATTTTGTATAATTACCTGTATACCTATTTGATTCTCCTTTTTCTTTGTTCTGCAGCTTTGAATGCAGGGCAGGTTGGTTTGGCGCTATCCTACGCAATCACCCTCATGGGAACATTCCAGTGGGGTGTTAGACAAAGTGCTGAAGTTGAAAACCTGGTAATATTTACTTCTTCCTTTTCACCTCTTCGTTCCTTTTTGTGGTTGTGACATGAGGCCTTAAGGATGGGATTCTTCTTAATTAACTTAGGACATTAATACCTTAGCAAGCAATTTAGGAACCACTTACAGTCTGTAAAGAAAAATAGCCTCTTCTAAGGTATAATTTGTCTGACTGATTTTGGATGTCTGTTGAGATGAATTGTGCCCGGTGACTGTCCCTCTCCATTCATAGTAAGGGAGGCTTTATAATCTCCCTTTACAGCAGAATGGAGGCTGTCTAGTTACAGTGTAGGCAGTTGCATTGCAACTCACTAGAATTACAAGAAATTAATCCCTCTCTATAAGTAAGCGTTGTTTAAATGATTTATTTTTTTTTAGGTTTGGGATTTTTAATTTATTATTATTTATTACTGCATTTTAAAATTTGATTTATATCCCTCCTTGCATTTTTGAGGGTCCTGTTAATGCGTTGTAAAGGCTTGTATCTTCTTAATTTGTTGTAAGTTAACAAATATTTGAAAGTATTTGTTTATATTCAGATGAGAAGATTGTGTGTTTTCCAAAATACATAAAGCAAAATGCCTTCCACCAATTTACAATATTTACTGGAATGTTCTAGCTTGCTTGATTACTTTTTTAAGTTAACATATAAGGGAAAAAGACTGTAAAAAGAACATACGGAGTATAAACCTGGGGGTTTTTTGTGTTGTGTTGACAACTGAAGGTTACTTGTAATTATGATTTGCTGACCATAGCCTAGGAAATACATGTTGTCCTTTTGTAGAGGTTACAAAGCCATGTTTAATAATAGATAAACTTAATAATAATGTTAGACCTGTATTTTTTTGTCTAGCACACGGCTTCTTCAGAGCATTTTTCAGACATGAATAAACTAGTGGTGACAGACTTCAGTGAGAAATGGGAAGAAAGCTTTTGGGTTTTTTCATACCAGTTGAGAAGTTTTGGAAGTGTCAATCTGTGGGACTCTGTTATGTAGTGAGTTACTCTCTTGGAGGCCGTGATTCAGAAATGCTTTGGAGGAGAAAGGCTTTCCATTCAGTAAGCTGGCTTTGATGTGGAATGTTGATCATTTTATAGAGCTATGATTAGCATCGACTTCTTTGACAGGTGGACATCCACCAAAAATTCCTTGTTATTAAAGGCTGGCTATATTCAGGGGAGGCAAGAACATTTCCTCTCTATTCTACTCTGTCTCTCCTTCCTTAATGTTTTTCCTTGGAGCTTATTTTGTAATGCGGAAAGGGTGGGTGGCAGTGAGGTCAGAGAACTTGCTGTCTGGTGACCTCTTCCCTTAAAGCCACTCCAGGGAAGATAAGTCTACTGGATATCTTTATGATGTTTTGCTTTCAGAATCCATCTATGAGCGGATACAGTTAAATAAAATCAATTGTATTGAGAAGATGTATGGGTGAGGATGTGCACCAGAGCCTAAACAGAACTTCTATTATTTGCCCAAGGGGAAGAAAGTGTCTAGATAGCTCAACTTCTGATTCCTTTCCTTCCTGGAAGATTAGAGGCATCAGCAGACGTTGCAGTTTCTTTCATATCTGGCATAAAATACGTATGAAAACAAGTTTTGTTGCATATAAGCCACTAATAATATGGTCACAGCTATCTTGGATTGTGGAGTTGCTTGTGACAAACATGTTTAGAAGATTTGCTGGGGGTGAGCACAGTGGTAATGATGAGGACAAAAAAAAAGGGCTGATGAAGCCAGTAACTTGATACTAGTAGCTATCATGGGTCTGCCTGTAGCTCATATGGCAGTTTCATGTCTAGCTTTGTCTTCCCAGCACACAACGAAATGGTGTCATCTTAGCCAAGACTGACAGGCAACTCTCATAGCTTAATTTTCTTAATACTTATGCGCACACTTACATTTGCAATTAGTCCTGCTGATTAGAAATGAATGCTTATGTATGGATTTATGTATCATGATAGATTTGGGCCTGTAGTAGGACGAGATGCATTCTTCCCACTTTTTCAGTTGTATAAATTAAGAATAGGATGGTACCAAATACTCTGTGCTTAAAAGAAAAAGTCTGGAATAATTTGCATTGAATCTTTACAGTAAAAATACACACAGAGACACATATATATGCAATATTTGCAATATATGCAATAATCTGAAATTTATGTATATATGTCTTCTTTCTTCCCCTTAGATGATATCAGTAGAAAGAGTAATGGAATACACGGAACTTGAAAAAGAAGCTCCTTGGGAGACCAACAAGCATCCACCACCTGAGTGGCCAAGCCAAGGAATGATAGCCTTTGAAAATGTTAACTTCACGTACAGTCTAGATGGACCTTTGGTGTTAAGACATTTGTCTGTTTTAATTAAACCCAAAGAAAAGGTATGTATATGGCTGTCTTGGGCCATTTGCAGAAATTAAGCAAAGATGATAAGCTGACAAGAAGCTGTGTGATAAAAATTTATTATAAAATACGTGAATGTTAGGAAATTAGTAAGTGTTCTTCTAAAAAATAAGCCTCAGTTATATTTAATAGCAAAATTTGGAGCCTATTTATTTCCTCTAAACGTAGCATAACTGTGTCTGGGAACATGGCATTTCTGGCTGTCAAAACAAAGGGTTAAATATATTTGATAATTTTCTGATAAAATTTTAATTTCATCAGGAAGTGGCAGGCATTCAAAAGACAGACTAAGCCCAAAATGTTTGTTCAAATTCAAAGCAAATGGAGTTGCATTAGGAAATTGGGGATGCAGTAGAGGGAACATAAATGGAACGAAGGGTGTAACACACAAGGTGAGCAGAGACAACTGAAAATAAGAAATGTACATGCTCTTGCACAGAGCCCCGAATGGAAGAGAGAAGAAAGAAATACAAATCAGTTGCATAAGTTTAGAATTGGGGATTTTATTTCAGTTCCTTTCGGCTACCAATCCAATTAACTGCTGCCATTAATTAGATTGGTAGCCAAAAGAAACATAGAAATAAAACTCTTCCTCCTCTTCAAATTTGACTCTTCCTCCCCAATTTTGACACCATCCCAGTTGAAAGAGTGCTGCAGGGAAGGTCTCCCCCACAGTCAAAATTAAATTAGAGCCCTGCAGTGTTAATTCGTGCTTTGCTACATTTCAAATGCACATGTACTTTTTTGATTAGGATATCTTCCCTAGGAGGCAGGTTCAGCTCTCTACAATCATTGCCCTGGCCTCATTTGTAACATGCTTTTCCATTCAGTCCCAAACCTGTTTCGTTCCTCAAGTGGATCTTTTTAATAACATGCACGTTACCAGAATTCAACCCAACTTTGCTGCATGAAGATGATCTCATGGAATTAGGTATGGGTGAGTTAAAAATGGTGTTTAAGAAGAAGAGCAAAAGGCATGTTTATATACTCTCTACTTTTCTTGCCTATGAGCCATCTCTTTAGTTGTTATATATCACTCCAGTGAAATAGCAGACAAGAAGATTTACATTTCTTAGTGAGAGACAGAAATAAAATAGAATTAAAAATGGAAGCAAGAGATATTAGCAGTGTATGACTCAGTCCTTGGTGGGGGCAGGAGCAGGAGGGACGACTGGGGGCATTTATTTTTGCTGAGTGGTTGTGCTGTGGTTTTGTCATCCTGAAGTGAATTTGCCCAGCTTGAAACTATTGCCAAGAACTTCGTGTTTGTTTTCTACAATGTTTTGCACAATACTGCAGTAGACTGCCACTGTGTGAAATAAATCTCCCAAGCGTCTTTGTTCCTTATATTGGTTTTAATTATGGAGAAGCGTCTCTTCGGAACCAGGTTTCCAGATCCGCTAGGAATTCTGCCCATGAGGCTGTCAGTGAGAGCGCTTATGCCTGTTCAGACCCCTGACTCATACAGACTTCTGGTGACTGCAGTGCCACTGGCACGATCAGTGAATTTAAACTTCTGCCGTGTTTGTAGTTTTTCTGGTAGCCACCCCAGTGCCCAGTCTGGGAAGCTGTAGGTACAGCAAGAATGGAGGAGGTCACTCGTGAGCTAGGGTGTCTTTTGATCTGCTTCTCTCGGT